CAAATAATTAAGTTAGAGGATTTAATGATCAAAAAAATATTAAATCCAAGATAAATAATTTCAGCATTTGATACAATAAGCTTGATCTAGAGATGCTACACTATTCGATTGGGGATTTGCATAATATTTAGAACAATTACAATTACATTAGAAGCTTTCGAATGGCAAATTAAAAAAATCTAATATAATTCAGGGTACTCCATGTTTCCAGGCATGTTTCGCTGTTTATTGAAGACTTTCTACATCTGGTTAAGTTAAGGAACAATCCATTTTATAAAATATAAAAAGTAATACAAAATTATTAAAGGACTGGCTCTGAACAGGTGTTGGGCGGCAATATATTTTATGTCAGTTAGTGAGCAAACATCCTGCCACACCTTGATAACAGTTACCATCTGCCTTCAGGAGATACACCGTTCCATGTTTGTAGCAATTATTGAGTAAAAAACAAGATTGTGGCTTCGTTTTAAAAGTTGAACTTGTTTAATGTCTCTTGAGAAACTACTTTCTAGCCGAGGCCTACTTTGCTTATGGCCCCTGGTAAAATGAATGATAGTATAATACTCACAATACGAAACCAAAGAAGCTGTTAAGTGCCCACAAGCATTATTTGCATTATTTATGAAACCCAGCACTTGAGATTGGAGAAAGGAGCTTCTCTGTGTGTGTTACTCATGTGAAAAGGCCAGGCTGTAGGTCTCCGTAGAATCTGTTATTTATTTCTTGGCAGATTCTTAGTCTGAGGTTGCAGGTGCACCTTTGTGGAGAGACAGAGGAAGACCCTCACAACTGACAATGTTGCAAGTCAATCATACAAAAAGGTCAAGACACAGCTCTGCATATCAAAACTAAAATAATGGGATCATAAACATTGTGATACAACAATTGATTAGTCTTTATTAAAAGTTATATTGTTCGATTGAATTATCCGATGTGTTATAGGCCAAGCATTTCAAAGTAGTCAATGATATTGTCATTAGGAATGAAATGCATTTTATTGTCTGCAGTTTCCACTCTGCTGTACTCAAGGGGTCTGTCGAATTTGTAATGCGCATGTTGCAATGTATTTTGAATGGGCCTGGAAAATGTCTAACTCCTCGAGCAATTTATTTCTCAAATGCAGCTTGGATTTGTTGAGACTGTAGTGTGTCGGTCTCTCCATGTGCTTCATAAAAATAAGAATTTATCTACAACAAGCACCCCTTCCCATCAATTTGAAGTACATCATTTGTAAAGGCAGGCGACCGTAGTGGCATTAAGCTGCACCTGTGCAAACAGCGCTATAGTAGGCCTGAGGGTTTTCAGTTACAGTTCAGGCAACAGCAGGTAAGTCAGGAACGTTGACTTGGATTTTGACCAAAACAGGACTAATGAGGGCTGGCAGGAACCTGCAGATTTGTTTGGCACTGGTGTAGACAGCCATGTACTGTACTTAAGGGAAAGGCCATTATTGTTAGAATTTTTTTTTTTTTTAAACTAAAACTATGTGTTGAATATTGTTAAGAAAAATCAAAAAAAGTACATTGGACCCTTGGGAGCACACTACCAGCCCACAACCCTTTGAGATGTCCAATCATATCTATTTATTATGGCTGCAATCATTATAAATGTCCTAACCCTGACAGTTATCACAAAAGGACTTTGAAAACAAATGGTAATGTTGCACAGCAGTTTGCCAAAAAATAGGAGCAGTTTGGGTATTTTTAACAGAAAAATTACTTTTCCGCCACTTGATTTTTTGCCAGATAGAAAATAAGAAAATGGACACAATCAATGATGTAAAAATTAATTAGTGTACAATTAAAAATTATAGTTATACTTACAAGCCAACACAGTATTTAACAGGATTAAATATTGAAAATAACCAGAAAACATACAAAAGTAAACTATTATTATTATTATCATAGTGGCCAGCATAAATTATATTCAGACGTAAGTACATGAAGTTTAATGGGATGGAGATGTTTTAACATTAATAAAACATGTTTGAATATACTTTTATGTATAACAGTCTCCTATTCTGTGTAATTACGATAGTGATATTGGCCATTTTTTGCAGTGTGAATGTAGGCATTTTAGCTCCACCCTCAGGTAGGTCACTCCCTGGTTATGCCTTATGTTTCTCATCATACTCGACCAACTTTACATCTAACAGTAACATTTAAAACACAGAAAACCGGAACGCGTCGACATCTTTATTTGTATTCACATGTAGCTTTAGCTTAAACACACAGGTGAGGGAGCTTCTTTGTTTGCTAGTTCGGTCGTTCACACGCATGCGTCCTCGCGCTCATTGTTACACAGGTGAAGTCAGCCCACAGCAGGACACACTGCAGGTAAAGGAGCCTTATCGTAAATAGCGAAAATGAAAGAAATGTCGATAGTATCTCACCGCAGTTGGACCATATAAAAAATGCCCGCGCGTGGAAGCAGTTGTAAGCTTTTTACAGCAAGTATTTACCAACAGTTTTGGGGAGTTAAAAGACTTAACTTCATCTGAGAATGCTACAAGACTAGTTATACATCAAGCTAGTGATGCTTATGACAGCAGCGTATTAAAGCGCATTCTAGATTTCTTTTTTTTGACAAGTAGTCCGTATAAATGTAGCATGCTAACTTGACTGGAGCAACAGGTGTTCATTGTTTTAAGTCGCATGTTGATATCATATTTTCCTTTTTGAACAGCAGCTGCAGCAGGATGAAATGACATCAGAGAGCACATTCAACATGGAGGATTTCTTCCAAACGGTAAACTTCACACAGGTTGGGTCTTGTTTTTTATATCCAGTTGCGCAATGTTAACTGTTGGTCTGTGGGTGTGTAGGTGGGGGAGGTGAAAAGCCTCATTGAAAAAATCTCCTGTCAAGCCGAAGAGGTGGAGAAGAGGCATAGCGTCATCCTCTCAACTCCAAACCAAGACAAGGGTAAGCACAAAGCTTCATTATCATACTCAGATGTGCATATCCGGTTGGAAAAGCCCCCATTAGCTGAAGAGCTTTTCTAAAAATACAAAAGTATAAATGTGATGCCTTCATTGTTGTGCGCAGGCTCTCAGAGATCCGTCTCCTCCTTCAGGGCACACAACATAGAAACAAACAGAGCAAGAGAAACAAAAAGGTCAAAAGCCTTAACAAACAAACAAACACACTGTTAGTAGAGGGGGTAGCCCACTAAATAAATAATAATAATAAAGCAGTTTAGGGCTTAAATTGAATGTTTAAAACAACTCATACTGTAGATGTACATTTAGAAAACCGTACACACAAATGCTGATGATACAATTTTTACATCAACAAAAAGCCTAAACCACAACAACAAAACCATATTCGACTTGCGGCTTCAGGTGCTATCCACACTCATCTTAAATGTTGAGAAATTACAAATATTGATGGGTTTGTTGACCTTAATTCAACTTAAATTATGAGGTATATTTTTGAAGTATAATCATATAGTGGGTATTGAAATAGCTGCCAATATATTTTAAAGTGAAGGGATCACAAAGTCACTGCATCTAATATCTCTCTTTAAATACCATAATTATTCCTTCTATGAAGTGAACTAATGATGTTCTTAGGAAAAAAGGACGAGTTGGTGCTGCTGAACAATGAGACCAAGAAGAATGCCAATTTGGTCCGGGCCAAGTTAAAAAGTAGGTGGATATAAGTTTATTCTTGCAATATGTGCTTCTGTACAATGGATATTGATTTGATTCCTGCTGTAGTTAAAGAGTAACGCAGAGTGTGCAGTTTTTCAGCGTGTACAATTGTTATTGATTTGTGGCTGTGTACCATCATTGTTTGAAACGATGAGAAGTGACTGTGCAGCACATCGAGCTTCCTCAAACTCTGGAACTGCATCGTTCATAACGTAGCATTTGACTTGCAAATGGTTATAAACTGAAGGCCACTGTACTTTACTCTACGGCTCTCAGTAAATACACTGCCTCAGATTAACTGTTTACAGAAAGATAAGGAAGTTAAATAGATATTAATCAGACAATCTTCAATTCAACCAGATGCATCAACAAAGTTGTGGGTTTTGTGCTTGTAGTTAAATGACATCTGTGTTCTTTCAGCAATGCAAGAGAACTTGCCTGTGGATGAGAACACTGAAGGGGTCTCAGTAATTCAGCGTATTTATAAGAACCAGGTATGGCTCTACTTTCATTTCCTGTTAGGCCAGAGGCCTGTACTACGAAGCTGGTTCAACCTAACCTGGATATGTTTGAGTTAGCCGGTTGGCCTAATCCAAAAAATACGCGCTCTCACTAAACTGTACTACGACGCGGGTTATCAAGTGGATCGCTCAAGCCAGCCGTGCCGTATCTAGTTAGGTGCGCGTTCACATGAAAGGGGTGGTATTTGGAGCATTCGACCAATCACCAACATGGAGAAGCGTACTGACAGCGCAGCGTCATACTTCCTGAATGAAAAGTAACTATATAATTAGNAAATAATCCTTGACGTGGTTTAAACAGGATGGCATTTTATCACAACCGAATTTAACTTTATCTCCGGTAGAATTCTGATCGGGCATTAGCTCAGCCTCCTCTTCTTCTTTTTTTTCAAGCTAAGGACCCAAAATCCGCGTTTCTCTAACAGGGCTTCAAAAGAGGTGTTTGAGCAGTATGAGGCATGGCTACAATGGGTGATCTGTTTGGTATTTTGAAAAAAAAACTTCACAGACAGGTTTTGTATAGGTATGGCCCTACAATATATTTTTCAAATATAGCATGATAGGTCCACTTTAAATTAAGTTGTCTCCTTAAACACCCCTCAGGGTTTGAGGGGTGTTTAAGGTGTAGTCCAATTAGCTGACACATCTATATAGGCAGGTGGTTTTCATCAGCGCAGCCTTTTGCCAGGAGCAAGGTGAGCTGCAACACACTGACAATAGGATTAAAAACAACACAATTCACAATAATTATATTAAACAAGATTGCGTGCACTCAATCTAGTACAAATAAAGTTGTTGCAAATAAATGTCTCTATATGTCTGAACAAAAAGCATAACCTTTAGCATGTGTGTTTGTTTGTGAGGCTTGTAGCCTTCACAGGGGGTAACCAAAAAAACATTCCTTGTTTCTCTTTTTTTTTTAAACTAGCTAGATTTCCGAAAGATTGCGAAATAGACTCAATATCTGAGTGCAGAATGTACATTTGACAGTGGTTTGGCTAACTAGCAAGAGGATATGGCGAGATGTGAATGCAACATTAGCAACATACTGTATATTGTAATTCATTATCTGTGTTCTTTCTATCAGATCAAGGCACGTCTGAAAGACATGGTGACTGTTACCATTCAGCATGTTCACAACGACTACTCCATTTATGAGAACGTGTGCATCAGCCCGGAAAAGCTTTGCCATGTGATCGAGATCTATGACTTCCCTGCTGTTTTCAAAACGGATGACCTCCTGGATGCTTTTGCAGAATACAGGTGCGAGCAGCGCTTTAAGATCCTTAACTTCTCTACAGATGGTTCATTTTTATCTCAATAGCTTTTCTACTCTAGTTCAGGGGACCTTGAGTTCCAAGTTTATCTATTCTTGGATTAGATATTTTTCTGTGTTTTCTCTAAAATATAAAGTTTAAGGGCTTTCCTGAATGTCTGTAGTCAGTCAATTACAACCTCAAACAATTGGTCCAGCTGCCAGTGTCCTCACGTGCTTTCCTGTGTGTTGCAGTGATGGTGGGATAAAGATCGAGTGGGTGGACGACACACACGCCCTGGGGGTCTTCTCCAGTGACACAGCAGGTATAACTCCTCACTGCACAATACATGTAGTGCTGGGATTAAGTTTAGAAGATAGAATGATTACAAAATGTACTAACGTTGATAAATGTTATGTGCAGCACTCCATGCTCTCTCCATCTGCCATCCGATGCTGAAGACGAGAGCACTAACTGAAGCGAGTAAGAAATCCAAAGGCAAGGCCACCAGGCGGGCAGGTATGTGATCCACAAACCAGGGGTCTGCAACCTTTTTGACCAAAAGAGCCATTTTGCCCCCTTTTCCACCAATCTTTTTTGTCTGGAGCCGCAAAACATATTTGATAGCTTGATAGCTTATAAAGTTGTATATATTGTTACATCATAGACAAAAACTACAGTTTTTTTGCATTTATTATTTATTACGTTAGAGAAAACTGTTTACCTCTAATAATAAACACATAACTCTTATAAGGAGAATTAAAAAAAATACACAGGCCTACTTTAAAATAAATCAACACAGCACTTGGGGAGTCCTCTGCACATTTGAAGAAAATGTATATAATTAAAATGTGCCCACTTTGAAATAAGTAAAACATATAGCTGCACCCTAAAAAGAGTTAACTGATTGAATTATGACTGAAGATCGTCAGCTGTCTTCCTCTTCCGTGTTTTTCCGATACGTAAAGGCTGCAGCACCTTTGACAACTTCTCTCTACAAATCAAACATACCGGTGAGCCAGCATCGTTTGCTGTGAAAGCAGATAACTATAATATCCTTTGTTCCTCCGATACTTTTATTTTCTTTGATTTATCCATAGTTCGCTCATGGAGCCGGGGGTGAGGTTATTGGCCTGTTAGACAAGGCGCTGGCGCGGGACCGTAGCAGGATGTGACGCCTATTTTAGTTGACCTAATTAAAACGGTTTTGTTTTTTATTTATGTGTCACAGTATCACCTCAAAATACAAGATACGAAACATTTTCAACCGTGTAACAAAATATAAATAGTCCTACAAATACTTTTATTTTATTTCCTTCTTATTTTTGTCTAAGCCTATGGTCTAAGCCAGGGGTCTGCAACCTTTTTGACCAAAAGAGCATCCAGGGAGCCAGAGTGGAGGGCTTACAGAGCTGCATGAGGCTCGAGAGCCGCGGGTTGTCGACCCCTGCCCTATACGATCATTCCCTGAAAACAATGACGCCATAGCCCCGCCTCTCCCCACCTCTCCTTCTCACCCCCGCGTCATAGAGTGCCACAGTGACGCGTCCTAAAACCCGGAAGTAAGTTAGCATTTTACCACTTCCGGTTCCTTCGACAAAAACCAATGCAATTTCTCCATAGGATTTTGGAAAATAGCTGGAAATTAGGTCTGTGGTTGACACAAATTGAAGAGACGGATCACGTTTTGTTCAGCCGGATAATATCCACATGTCTACCCTACTTTTATAATTTTCGAATCATAAATCTAATCGATAGATTTATGATCGATAGATTTATGATTAGAAGATTATAAAAGTAGGGTAGACATGTGGATATTATCCGAATGTACAGGAGTTTACTTCCGGGTTTTAGGACACGTCACTGTGGCACTCTATACCTGATGCGTTTCGCCAACAACAACAACAACAACAACAATGGCGGATCACAGGGTTGCGTTCGTGCTCCATTGCCAAATCTACAGCTCCTCTACCACAACCATCAGCAACAACAATAATATAATATAATAATAATAATAATCATCGTCTTATTCGCGGCTTTTGGTGTATTTTGTGGCGGAAGTACAGCACCACTTACAGGCCCGGCATATGTACTACAGCTGCCCAGCGGGTCGAGCGGTCTCGTGTGGATGGACACGTTTCTTGAGCCGATTCCATGTGGACGGAAGACTTTTTTGATATCTAATTCGGTTCGTTTTCGTCTCCGTTTCGTCTCCGTGTGGACGGGGCCTTAAGCAACGACCCATTGGTTCAACTGTAGTGCAGCCAACTTTTGAAACAGTCATTTAAAAGAGATGTCGAAGTAATATTAGATTTGCCAAATAAATGTGCAAAATATACATTATTTTATGCACTTTGATTTGGTACATCTGGTATCGCCTTACAATCAAGGCCATGGAATGGAAGTCTTGAACTGCCTTCAACATTGATTGATGATATGATCTCACTGACTACTTGTGCAGCCTTGGAGATGGCAGCGACATTCTGGGATGTGCCAGGCAGGAGCCCAGCCTAGAGGTGAAGGGGGGGCTCATCACCTCATTACAACCTCTACGAATCCACAGCAACCCCTCCCATCCGCCGCGAGCCCCCACCCTGCAGGAATGTGAGGTCATCATTCGGCAGCTCTACAACGCTAACAGCTTACAGTCTCAGGAAGTAAGTGCCCTTCATCACATAATAATCATCTATAATATTTTCTTTCTCATTTTCTTTGGACATTTTTAATGGCTTTATAACAACCGCGTTTCTTTAAAGATCATACGTGTGAAGGCGTTGCTGAGAGATATTGTTTTGAGCAAAAAAATCACCCCAGAGAACTACATCCTGACCAAGGCCTTCCTTGTGGACGGAACCCGGTAAAGTGACGGACAATTTTATTACTGCAATCTTCATCAATATATAGGATTCCTTAAAAAAAGATGACCACAGTTGTGATTAGGTTTTCTCTTTTTTGTTGTGCCTGTCAGCAAAGTCACAGAAGAAAAGACATTTCCGAAACTTGGTCTTCAAACATTTCCCGAAAAGCCGTATGTAAATCTGTTTCTATGGAAAACTGTTCCATCATTTTGCACTGACTGCATGCTCAAAAAGCCATCTTGGCCCCCTCAGTTAAATCTACATATGTTCTGTCCCAGGTCCGGATCCTCTCACTCTGGGGTGGTCCTCCCTGCCCTGAAACAGAGCCTCAGCAGCAGCATCGCAGACAGACAGAGGAGGGCCCGTGCTGTGCAGAGAGACCGCTTCAAAAGGACGGTGCACTGACAGGATCCCCAGTACACATCCAGTACACTGTTATCCACCACCATATAAAGTATTTCTGTCCTATCATATTTTCTTTTATAATTGTTCTCATGAAGAACCGCTTACATAAAAAAATTAAAATAGTTTTTCATTCTGCACACAAAGAGAAAAGGAAATAAAGTCACAAATGCAGTTTTGTCCTGGTAACGGTAAATGTACTTATTTATTGTTTACCAAACATTTTAGGACATTTGAACTATAAAGGTAGACATCTGTAACTGAACATGGCTGCTTTTACCAAATTGTAATTCTGCCAAAATTATGGGGGAATTGTACACTACTACATAGAAATAATAACTTGTTATTATTCAAACTAATTCATACTTTTATCACTGCAAACAACCAAAGTTAGCTCTCTAAAAACACATTAAGGAAAAAGAATAACAACTTTTTTCCCAGGCCCTTTTTGTACACAACAAAACTAGATTGAACTATCTCAACAAAAAAAGAGCTCTGTCCTGTTTTTTTACAACGACTTCTGCTCTTCTTGTCTTTTTAACATAATATTTTTGGCAATTGTCTTAACATTTGAGTGAAGTGAAAACACACAGCTGTGAAAAGCCAAACATGTTAAAGAGCCTAGCTTAATTTCACAACATAAATCAAAACCTAGCTTATAGTTGTGCAACCGCGTTGGGCAGGTTAAGAACTGCATGCAGCCAGGCGGGGCAGACAATTCCCGGAATGAACCCGGCTGAGCTCACTTCACCTCTAAAATCTTTGCTGATTCAAAGGTATCACAATGTGGATTCTCATATGGCCAGTGAGAGCCCAGTAAGAGCCAATCTGTGCCTCAGGGGCACTTATTTTCACAGTGAGCAAAATACTCTGATGGCAGGCATTTTCAAGGTACCTCTCAATACCTCTCCATTAGTTACAAGTGAATAGCTCTCAGTCTGTCAATGTGTATGACATTTCTCCCTGCAAAAGTTCAAACACTGTAAAATGATGTTATGTTCAGATTAAACACATTGTTTCATGCATGCATCCACCAGATGGAGGTGTTTAGAGACATTGAAGAGTGTCCATTACATTTGAAGCCTACAATGTTTGAGAGGTTACAGATCATTTTATTTATTTCATATTCTGCATGGAATTTGTGTCTTTGGAATATTAGCAAAATGAAATGATTTACATATCCACCTGAAAATATGGCTGTTTTGTTTTGAGCCCTGGTAATAAAATCACAAATTAAACCATAGTGTAATTAAACAAAAAGTATTTGGGGGAAATGCACAGTTACACAGCATTTTTAACGTCTACTCCTGAGGAAGAAAAGGCCCTGTTTGTTTTAGTCTTTCCAATTTGTTGCATCACTGCGTCTTTGTGGAAATGTGGGAATTGGCAAGCATTAGCCCTTAAGAGCCAGTGGGTGCGAATCTATTAACATTCAGACAGCGCCGCAGTGATGAGAGCTGCTCTGTGCCAGCTGCAGGCTCACGAGCATGCTCACTGAAACCTCAATATCCAGAGGAACAGAGCTGCATCTTTATATATTTTACTTTCATTAATGAGCAGAAGTTGTCCCGCCACATTGGAACACTTGTCATGCTTTATCAGTGTTTCTAACGCATTCTTTGGTTTGTATTCGTCTTTATTTAGTCTTTTTCAGAGGCGCTACCCCCTCCATTTAAATTCACTCTCTCCCTTTCAGCATATTGTGGGCCGGGGAGCTCCAAATCGATGTGTCACAGTTCTGTGCCAGATAATACTTAGTATGAGATTGAGTGGAGGGGAAGTAGGAGAACAACAGGAAATTAGAATAGGGAAATATGTAAAATGTTTAACTGGTCGCATGAAATAGCAGTTGACTGAGCAAACATGCTGTACCTCAAACATATGAATTAGTCACGAGGCCACAGAAGAGCTGAAGATATATAATATACGCTGCACAGTAATACATCATAAATATAGATTCAAACGAGTACATTTGCTCGTTTATAGGACAGCCTGTGTCCTCAGGGAACCTGTATGAGAAGATTGAGTTGTCAGATGTGATTGAATGTGAAACTGTCATCAGTTATAAGAATTAAATCTACGGTCACTCATTTATCCTGCTACAGTAGCCTAATACAAGTTAAATTAAACTGTAAAGGACAGGAACCAAAATGGGATCTTGGAAGTATATGAACAAATCAAATAGCCTTTATTTTAAGATTGACCATAGTTGTTTTCCAAATGACTCAGTTTTGCATACTTTAATTATTTTAATTTTATATTACTTTATACACCTAAATAATTCAAAATTTGAATATTGTACGTAGAAAATAAGTACAAAGAAAATATGTGATTAGTTAAGTACAAAGTCGTTAAAAAAGGATATCCACCCCAAACAACTAACACACCAAAAGGCTCCATACTTGCACTTGACTAAATGTTTATTGAAGTATCATATAGTATTGCCGCTGTTATTAGAACATAATAGAACATTATTATTTTATTTTGAAACAAATGTTAGAATTGTATTGTTACTTATATAAGTAATCAAAACTAGTTTATTTTTTTTTGCATATTTATTAACTGCACTTAGACATCGTATGCAAAAAGACATAGCATGAACCTAATACAGGGTCTTGCTGCTATACAAAATAAGCCTATAGTGTATTTTGTAATTTATTGCTGGTTGTTTGCCCTGTAGTGATAACATCACTGCTTTATCGTCGGTCATTCAAAATGTTCTGTAGCTGTCATGGAAACATGATTGACACTTCACTCTGGGGGTGGGCAGTCCATGGTCTCGTCACCCGCCCACCCCCATTTCCTCCTCCCACCCTCCACCCCCCTCCAGGCGTCAGTGACGTGCAGACAGAAAGCGGGACCAGCCCTCCCGTCGCCATTTTTCGGTCTCGTACTCGCACTTCTGGTGGCTCGGGTGAGGGGGGGGACGAGTAGAAATAAGGGAAAGTAAAATATTATAGAATCCTTAAGCCGTTATCCTTCGTGAGCAGTCGGGAACTCACGCGAGAGCTCCAGCCTACCGCGCGGCCACCTGAGATGCACGCGCAGGAGACAAGCCGCTGCTGTGAAATCATTTTTTGTGTGGAGACGTGTTGCGGGCCGCCATTTTTGTGATGTGCAGCCTCTAAAGTCGGCTCTGACTCGAGAAACGGGATTCAAAAACGCATTTCCATGACGTGTGCCTTACCATAAGATAAAGAAGATACAAAGTAATCATTTCGTTTCCGACTCACGGCTACTGGCGACATTTTGCCGACATGAGGATTTATCAGATGAAAAACTGAGGCCACCTTTTCCGTTCTCTGACACACTGACGGGAGATACATTATTAGAAGAGAGAAGCCCGGTGTTTTCTCGGAAGGCGGAACGAAAAGGGGAAGCTTCATTTATCATTTGTTGCTGCTTCGCTCTCCGTCGATGTTTGTCTGTCGTAAGTTGTTCTGTTTCTCTATTTTGGCAGCTCAAACAATCACTCAGCCGTTGACTGCTGAACACAGGAACCACATTATGTTCCAAAGTTGGATCAAGCCAGTTGCAGCCTGTCTCTGAAAACGTCAGGTTGTTTTTGGTTTCCTCTTAAATTCTTTTGAAAATCAGAGGTCTCTGGAGCCTGCAGCAGAAAGCACTCGACACAACCTCTCAGGGCGACGAATGCCCTGCCCTGCATCTTCCAAATCCTCCAAATTGCTGTGATTGGCCAATCCCAACCACACGTTTTAACTTATTGTCTAGCCTTTTTGGTTATCCTTTCTTTCTTATTTGTAGTCTTGTTACTAACTTATTTTGAACAGAAATGTCAACTGCTCGGTTTGATTCATCTGATCGGTCCGCCTGGTATTTTGGACCCGTGTCACGACAAGAGGCACAGAATAGGTTACAAGGACAGAGACATGGCATGTTTCTGGTTCGAGACTCGTCGACCTGTCCCGGCGACTACGTGCTGTCAGTGTCTGAAAACTCCAAAGTGTCTCACTATATAATCAACTCTTTGCCCAGCAAGAGGTTTAAGATAGGCGACCAAGAATTTGAGCACCTCCCTGCTCTGCTGGAGTTCTACAAAATCCACTACCTGGATACCACCACGCTGATAGAGCCAGCCCCCAGGTATGAACATCCCCATTACCCCCCACCACTAAACTCATGATATTAAGTGTACACCATGATGGAGAAAAACATAACACTTGGGCCTCATATATTACCACCAATGGCTGGACAATCTAGGTTAAGTAGCTTGGCTATTTTTATCAAAAACCAACCCACTTTCAGGCTTACCTCAGTGCCCTGTTGAAATGCATCTAGTTTGACACATTTGAAGAGAGAAGAGACATTAACACTACCCTCACACATGCAGTTTGTTATTTATGTGTGGTTTCTCAACATATGATAAACAATCACTAGCCAAGACTTTGGTCAAGTTTGGGGTTTGCATATATACACGATTAGCCTTCCATTTTGGAATTAGCTACTAATGCACTGTTTTTAGATCTCTATATATGTGGCATTTATTCCTATTTTGCTCAAAGACCTTGGAAATGAACATGGATATTCTTTCCATTTAATGTATACACTACATTAGTAAACATTTATACTCGGGTTGTACTTTGAGGCATATGTAAATCATGTTTTGCCCTTTGACATAACTTAAGCTTTTATTAAATGCCATTCAACAAGAACATCTGGAATGTATGTATGTCCATGTATTTCATATTCAGTTGACGATGACCTTCTTTTTATGGTAACCCCATTATGTCTCCGTCCTTTGCCTCCTTATTGTAATCTCTCAAGGTACCCAAGCACAGTGAGCGGTCCCATCCAGCCCATAAGTGGCCCAGATGAGAACCTGGAGTATGTGCGGACTCTTTACGACTTCACTGGCAGCGATGCAGAGGACCTTCCCTTCAAGAAGGGGGAGATTCTGATCATCCTGGAGAAGCCAGAGGAGCAGTGGTGGAGCGCCAAGAGTAAAGAGGGGCGTGTGGGGATGATCCCCGTTCCCTATGTGGAGAAATTGGTACGACCTTCACCTCATCCTGGCCAGCCTTCCCATGGGTCTCGCAACTCCAACAGCTATGGGATCCCTGAGCCCTCCCACGCCCTCGTGCACGCCTACGCCCAGCCCCAGACTCCAACGCCGTTACCACCTGGCACCCCCGGAGCAGTTATCAGCCCTCTACCCTCCATGCAGAACGGCCCCGTCATGGCAAAGGCAATTCAGAAACGAGTGCCATGCGCCTACGACAAAACAGCTCTGGCTCTAGAGGTATGTGAAATGGGATTTCACTCAACTAAAATGTGTTTTGTCTATATCGTTTTCTTAATGAAAGGTAGACTTCCTGGGGTGTTTTTAAAATATGGCGTTTTTGATTGAGATGAATTATTGTAGTCTACTAAACTAATCTTTATAAATGATCCAAAATATGGGGAAATGCCCTCAAACTAACTTACTATTGGCACATATGACTTAACATGGCCAAACACTACAATCAGTAAATCAGATGAGTTTCAGCCGTTTCATTTGGTTTGTGATGATATGCTATGCCAAGTTGTAGGCAGCTTCTAATCGACTCAGACTGTGAAGCAGTGTCCTGATGCCCTCTCTGGTTAACTGTTTAAAGTGTGTTTCACTCAGCCTCAGCATGGAGAAAGTTAACCAAAAACAAGAGAAAATAAGGCAGCATTATTCATGTTATCCTCTTGTGACTTTCTATTTTTGGAGCTGTTCAAATGGAGACAGTCCCCAAAACAACACATTACAAAATGTCATTTAAAAAAAAAAAGAAGAAAGGGAAGGGCCCTGTTTTTTTCACACCTAAAACATGTCACTTTACCACTGAATCATTTCTTGTAAGGTTAACCAGCAAGCTGCATTGAAACTGGAAGTCGGTAGCTAATGAGAAAAGTGCTAACACAAGGCAGCGCTGCCACAGCCATGACGATGTGTGAAAGAGTCTTAAGATAACCTGCAGCTCTGCAAACCTCCAATATGTCAGGCTCTGCTGTGCAGCAGCCGCTCTAGGTGTTGCTCTGGCATCATGCTGAATGCTCATTGAGTTGTTGTCGATTGATACTGGTATATAGCATTCATTGAAACTAAATGAACGTCTGCCACCTTCATTATTTGATGTTAGGTGTTGGAGTGGGACTGTGGTGATACTGACTACAGGTTTGTGTCCTAATGTATACTTCTATGGGTGATTCAAGCACCCATTCCTCCTGTTATCTGTGGCTACGTGTTCCTGCTAGTTGCTAAAAGGGAAGCAGCTCTGTTGCATTTTACGGCTCGATTGCATTTCTCAGCAGTGCACTCAATACAAATGTGCTCTGGCTGTGGTAACATGTTGCAGCATGTAATGTAATGTATAATGTGCACTTCACGTATACACTGGGGCTCCAGCATGCTCCACTCTGATAGCAGTCTGAGCTGCAGCAGTGTCCTCAGGGGACAGATGAGAAAGAAAGGCATCTGGGCCTGTCTCCGCTGCCGTTCACTGACATCACAGTGTGTCGGTGGATGCAGGAAGTGAGCTATGCTGGTACTCAGCCCGGCCCTGTGACTCTAAAATGAAGTGTTAAGGTTAGACTGCTCCCTCTTACAACAATGTCCTGTCCTCTCTCCCCTGTGTTCCTCTTACAGTAGACATTAGCATCACCTCAGGAAATGCCTTGTTCAGACTGACTGTGTGATGTGAGCTGTACGGGTCAACCCGACATGTCAGCTGCCCTGGGTCTGCGCCCATCACTACCAATCTTTTCGCCAATCTCCTCAGAGTGGAAACTTCCATTAAACTCAAAGTGAATTCAGTCCACAGATGGAGACATAGGGAGGGGATCAGAGAAAGAGGGACTGCACACAAATGTGCCAACACAGCGAGCATTTGAGGACTGAAACAGAAACATGTTTCTGTGTGGAATTTGTTCAATTCTGTGTACTTTTACGGCGTAGCGGTAACGTGGGTAGAGCTAAAGTGGAAGGCTGGCTTCTGTTTACGGGCAAATAAAGATTGTCCTGTGACTGCATTGTCTTCATATATGAACCTGCATGTTTTATGCATGTTCAGTAGACTTTTGTGAGTGTGTGAAATAGAGTGAAAGAACTAGGGTTTGTGAGCACACTTGATTCAAATAGAATATACGAAATACTGTTTTTATTTTACAATTATAATCAACTCCGCAAAAAGGCATTTTGACTATATTCTCAATCCCTGTGTTCTACAAAAGTTAGCGTTATCCCTATCCCTCATCTGTGTTCTTAGTAGATTTAAGATATGTGGTACTTCATTATTAATATTCATAGTAGCCTAGTTTCTAGCTGCCAAAAGGCACTGTTCTCCTTTTTAAAGGACCTGTGTCTAACGTGAGGAAAATACAGAGTAGTGATTAAGATTCCACATCAGTGATAACAGCTGCGGTGAGATCAAATATTTAAATTGCCTGTTCCCATCAACATTTCTTAGTCCTGCATCACGACACCCCAAATGTGCTGCCGTTGTGAGAACTGTATCCGAATTTCCATAATTTGCTAATCCTTTGAATAAAGAAAGGTTGCACATACTGGTGTCACTGCAACAGTTTCACATTGGCTCTATGCCACCCAAACGAAAAGCAAACGATACATTGTTGATAAGATAAAGGATTTACATTTTTCCTTTTTGAAGGATTATATTTATAGAAAGTTTGATATGGAAATGAGGTGTAAACATGCTGTGGGTCTAAGGACTTTTTTAGATGTTTCTGGTTTTGTCTGTGTCATACAAGTGACCCCCCCCCCCACTGTGATGGTTGACTGTATGCAGGTCTCACTGTGTCTTTATTAGTGGGACAGTGCTTGATACACACATCGCCCGTGTTAAGGCTGAAGGTCTGGCGATGTCCTTCTACCCAACAGGACTGAAGCTAGCTGTAACACCTTAGTTAAGATAAAGTGATCATGCGATAAATGAAATGTTTTTCTTTTTCACTTCACGTAGAATGAAGGAATAAAGATGCTATTGTCATTGCATAGGTTCCCTGAAAAGTAGACTTCCATAGGGGGTTTCCCTGCCGTTCAGAGTTATTTCCTGCTACTTGTGCATTATAAAATGGTGCCCTAAAACATTTTCTATTTATCGTTTTTGAAAATGGTAATGCAAATCAGCAGGCCACAACAGATGGGTCTGACATAGATTAATCCCAACATCCAGGCACTTTAGTAACTCTCCTGAATGAGTAGGGAATATCTGATTATATAGTGTTGTACAAAATGTGACAGAGGAAACAAAGCCCCGAGAAACTGGTCACTAGAAAGGAACCGGCAAGCCTTGTGGTCATTTTTGATTTAGTGCCCTAAAACTAGCATTGGACCGACAGCACATACCTCACCTCGTCTCATCATGTCTCTCTCTGTCGGCTCAGAATAGGTCACGGCTCACAGAAAAAAGCTTTTGGTTTGTGCCGCTGCTGTTTCACGGCCCCTAGGGTTTAAGAAGAAGAAGAAGCAGTGGCTATGAGTCATTATTTATTTACTTCACAGACACGCAGTCCCCAACAAATGAAATCAGGTTATGTGCACATTATTTTTAGGGTTTTGATTTTTTAGACCGAAGTCTGCTTCACTTCTACATTCTTAAGAGTTGGATGTTATTCCTTTATTTGATTATATTTCCTTTTCCCATGATCACAGTAAATGTTATTATTGCTCTGTATTTCTAATAACAAGATCTTCAACATGTTTCAACATTTATATTAAAACGTGCATTCATAACAACCAGCCTGTTCTTAATGAAGATTAGATATAATTCAACACTTACAAATTGAATGGCACTTCTTTGTATGGAGCTGAATTTGTGTTCGCCATGGCGCTTCCTTGCAGCATTTCTTTTGAATGAAGATTTCATTTTTTTTCTTTCCACGGAAGCTTTGTATGACTAAGTAGCATTCTTGTCATTCCAGGATGACGTAACGGATTATTGTTCCAGATAATGTCTGGGACTAGATGTCCTTGAAGCGTCGTTCTGAAGAGAAAGCCACAAATAGCGTGCCCTCACATTCACGTTTCAATCATGGTTTTAGTGATGGAGATTTTTCCCTTCTAATCCCCCACAAAGAACATATGGCTTTAACAGATTGGGGTCGCATTCAATGTCACAACCCCATCTGAGCGACAGCACTGTGCTCCACCACAGTTTAATGACAAAAGGCTTTTATTTTGAACGTGGTGTATTAAGAAATCTCTGTTTTTTAAGCTCACATGTGCAGACGGTGTAGTTGGATGAAGGCTTTAGGATAAGCTTTGGCCACATTTTCATATTTCCTTGGACTATAAACCCAGTGCTATCTTTCTTGTTTTTTATCTGTGTGCATCTGGACAGTCTGCAGCCGTTACTCACCAGCTTACAGTTCACATCTGCTTCTGCATGACGGTTACCAACTTAGTCACTTCGTTGAAGTAGAGCAGCATCTTTACACTTAAGAATTGAGAAATAATTCAAGTAAATTGTGCTATTTGTCAAGGGGCTATGATTCAACCTTTCATTTCGCTACTCTCTTATATACGCAAAATATGACTCTGTTTTTAAGGATTTATTTTGTGAGTTTTATTCCAGAAATGTAAAAGTGAATGCTCCTAACACACTGTAAGGCATTCTAGTTGAATGTGACCATGAAAGGTTGCAGTTTTCTAGAAAGTGACAAACCGTTCTAGGTTATTTTCCAATCCAGATCTACTTCCCACAAATCCTGCTTTTCCTTTAACCCTGCTATTTGTCTTTCTGCCCTCAGCTCGGCGACATCGTCAAGGTAACACGGATGAACATCAGCGGCCAATGGGAGGGCGAGGTGAACGGACGAAGGGGTCTCTTCCCATTCACCCATGTGAAAATCATAGACCCCCAGAATCCGGACGAGAGCGACTGACCCTAGTGTCGGCCTGGACCCTCTCGCCAGTTGTCGTCCCCGTACCTGAACCTGCTGGCCGTCTCCACCTCGTTCCCGCCAGTGTCGCCACGGTTACATGCTTGCCTGCTTGGGGCTGTACCATGATAGCGACCCCACCGTTGTTGCCAACCGTTGCAAGGCTTTCTGACTGTTTACAGCTTTGGACATTGGGTCCAAACTTAAAAAAAAAAAAACCTGACCCCACTCCTCCCATCTCATTACCCCTTGACTTGGTTCCAGGCTGGCCGATGTGTTTTTGCATTAGTGTCCTTTTCATTTCCACATCACTGGATATCAGTGTGAGTGTGTGTGCGTATGTATTAAGTGTGTGTCACAATAGATATTTACATTACAACATGTCTGTGTTTATTAGGTTTTTTTCTGAATATATGTTTGAAGTCTTGGGGAAAAGTGTTTGTTTTGTCGATGTTCGTACGAAGTAGGGAACAGCAACATCCCCACGGACTTGGGAGAGCACTGAGGCGACGAGGAGCTAACCAGCCGGTCAAATGTTATTTCTCCAAACAATCAAGTCACTGTTGTACCTTAACCATCTCACAAGCACAGACATACACAGGTATTGGCTGTGAGTTGTTCAGGTTGACAGTTTTTTTTTTATATGTACGTGATGTGTGACTGGATTCAGGAGAGATGGGTTTTTGGAGGATCTAGGTTGCTCCGTGACATTTTAGGTCCCATGACCCCATCCACACTTCCACCTGACTTTCGAGACTTATTTATCTTTGTTTAAAACGCATATTTCGGCCCTCTGTGATTTCATCTTTCTCCTATTTGTGCCACATGATCAACTCATGTTCTTTTGTTTTTTTATGTGACTTGGATATGTATGGTAGAGCGGTAACTTTGCATGTCCACTCGGTACCTCTCTTGACTGCCCTTCACATTATCTTGAACTGAAAATGCATTGGTTAGAGATTAGCAGGGTTTTTAGTGACTTCAGCACTAGTCGATACATTTCAACCTTCTGCATATGAGTGTCAAGCTTTGAACTAAAGTCAAGTAGCAACAGCCTTCTCCCTAGCACTTCCCACAAGCATCTAAAAGGCTAGCTTAAAAAAATGCATCGTCGCAGCATCGGCACAAAGACTGCGTTCTACTGAGGCGAGGGCAAAGGTCAGGAAAGCATTTTTCAGCAAGCCAATGAGAATCCCATTAATGCCTTTTTTTCAAGAGAGCAAGGTAAATGCATCTTTTAGCACATGCAATCCCACTCTCAATGTTACTCCTGTCAATTTAGTGTTTTGTCTTTTTAGCTTTATTCCTTAAATATTCGGTCCGTGCACAACTTTGTCTCATTACATCACATGTTACACGCTTTTATCCAAAGCGACTTACATACTCAATACTGTGGGCAATCCCCACAGGAGCAATTTGGGGTGAAGTGTCTTGCCCAGGGACACAACGACATGCTGTAGTGCTGTTTGAACCTGTCCCCCTGATCCGAACACCAACGCACTAGGCCACTGAGCCACACACCCCCCCACACTCCGCATAGTGCTTTCCATTGAAATCGATTACCAACCCTCCACTCAGTAATATTGTGCAGCTTTTAGTTGTTTCCCAACTTTGATCATGTTAGTTTATAGTCGGCTATTCATTCAAGTTTTTTTTTGTCAAAATCTGCTATTCATTCAAGCTTTTTTTTTGTCAAAATGAGTGATGTGATTAAACAAAAGTACGGACGGAAACATTTACAAAAGGGCAAATGCCTGCTGGTTGCCTCTGTGCATGACCTCTTGGCCGGGGAGATGGTCCTGCCTGGCCAAATGCTGCTTAATGTCATTTTATGTCCTTATTAAACCAAGGTTTCTCTTATTTGAATCCCTCCTGGTCAAACCAACCAGCGTGTTTTTTTTTTTATTCCTCATCAAAATTAATGAAATTACTAATTAAGCAATACACCCTGATTCTTTCCTTCTCTTGAGGTGAACTTACTTTTCTCATGCTTCTGAGTTGTTTTGTAATGGCATTAACAGTATTACTGTGCTCTCTTCTCATATTCTAGGAAAGCCTGTCTTTTACTTAAGGATTGAAAATTGTGCCTTTTATTTTCTTAAACCATTTACATGTGTTAATATTTCCCATGGTTAACACCTGTGCTGGTATTGACCCTTTATGTACAGAACAAGTAAATAAAATTTACGTCTACTTCTTTAACTTTTTCTCGTCTCAAATCTGTCCTTGGCGTTGTTGTTTTGGGAAGGTGGTGGTGGTGGGGGGGGGGAAGCAGCCGGGCTTCACAGGTTGTGTATCTGGAGCACAGGACAGTTGCTCTCGCTCTAATTTTTGACAGTTCCAGTTTTGATTCTGGCTGCGCCCAGGAGGAAGGAGGCAATTAATGAATTTTAATGAAGTGCTAAGAAAAGAAAGTCAGCTGACCTAGAGATGGCTAATGGAAAACTTTTCAAGGGCAATGTTTCATATGTTGTAACTGTTTGTTCAACCTTTTCCAAACAAAGTACAAAAAACACACTTTAAGACACCAGGAGCTAAAAAATAAGTTATATATTATGATAGTGCCGGCTGTTCACTAAAATGGCTTTGTTAGGTTAAGGACATACTCAATGTTTGGGTTAAAATATACCCTTAATGACAGAAAGCCCCAAATGCTACCTCCTATGTGCTGATGCAGCAGCAAGCTACCTCCCTAACCTTATCCATCAGTACCATATGATGGATAAGCTGTTTGATTGTAAGACAAATGGATACAAGTATGGGAAGTCACAGCATCAAACTCATTTGAAATCACAACTTATTGGATGACCGTAAAAAGACAATTGGAAAAAATATCAAAGCAATTGAAACTCAAGCATAGTGTAGCAGAGCTTTTACATACAGTAACTCCTATTTAACATACAGTTCACCTGGAGCCAATCATAACAGCCAACATCCTCTTCACTAGTGACATGTTTTAGGTTCCTTCATTTCAGTATATGGTTTTGTAATTGTGTCTTTTACAGCTATTTCCTGAGAAGAGAAAGGATCTACTGTGCATTCAGTTCACACGTAGGCTTTACCCCAGGAAGCCTTGTGCTGTGTGTGTATGTGCCGGGTTAAATTGTCATTAAAGCCAATCAATGTATCGCCTGAGACTATAGGCAGTGGAGGCAGTGAGAATGAACACAATGAATCAAAGTTAGCTGAGTCTGACCTCTCCTCTCCTCTGGGCTGTGTGTGTGTGTGTGTGTGTGTGTGTGTGTGTGTGTGTGTGTGTGTGTGTGTGTGTTAATGGATGTGCAGAACGATCGATGACAGCCTTCCTACAGTCCATTACCGACACCACCCTCACACTAATTGATGGAGCCTGCCATGCTGTGGAGACAAATAAAGGCTTTGCTGTCGAATGATATTCATAAGTAAACATACTTAACTACATTTGATCAAGGTGATGCTAAGTGAGGCCCCAAAATCATAAAAGGTACAGACACTATGACATTTATTTAAAGTACTTCTTCAAATGTTAATATATTATACTCTGCAGTTTTTTTTTACTAACCTTTTCAAAATTATACTTTGATGTTTGTTCTGATATTTTCGAAATTGTAAACATTTTCAAAATAATTGTATTTACACTGAACAAAAATATAAATGCAACACTTGTTTTTGCTCCCATTTTTCATGAGATGAACTCAAAGATCTAAAACATTTTCTATATACACAAAATAACCATTTCTCTCAAACATTGTTCACAAATCTGAAAAAATCTGTGATAGTGAGCACTTCTCCTTTGCCGAGATAATCCATCCCAGGGATGGATTATCTCGGCAAAGGAGAAGTGCTCACTATCACAGATTTTTTCAGATTTGTGAACAATGTTTGAGAGAAATGGTTATTTTGTGTATATAGANACAGACTGCTATATAATGGACTTATTTTTGCACATCCGCTTTCAAGATTTTTCTAGTTTACTGACATATCAATTCACAAACGTGCTTAGTATGCAACAATGAAAAACGAATGAAAAACTTTGGGGTCGCAGGTTCCTCAATAGTGCCCATTACAAGACAACTATCAATTAGTTGTGCAGTACCTTCCAGCAATTTTGACTAATGTTGAAGCACTTATTTTTTACTGCATATTATTACATAGGTTGGGGTTAAAAGCTGTCAAGTTTACAGCTAACCTAACAAAATTAAAGTATTACTGCTGTTCTGGTTTGGTTTACGACGGAATATTAGTTGATTGCTTTTGATATTTGCCTAACACAAACGAGCGATGGAAAAAAACCACACAGCGAACACAGAGAAAGATGCGGTCTTAACATGACCCCAGTGGTCTAGTAGTTAATAAACAAACAATTAATTATCAAAACAAAATTATTATTACTAAAACCTTCCCTTATTGTGGGAAAATTCAACTGAACTGCAAAAGAATAGTTTCCGGCCTATTCTGGAGGCCCGGATCGGTCGTTAGATTAAATAGAAAATAGAAGAACTACGACAGATGTGCTATATATTTAATGCAGACCAACCATTATTAAATGCATCACTGTGCATGACTTTCAAAGAGTAAAAGCAAGGCACTGGCGTGAAGTAAGTATGATTTTTATCTTTTACGAAACGTTTTATATCCATTTGAACATTGAAATCAACCAATCACAGAGCTTGAGAATATCACGGGTTTGTCAAACAGAGCACATGGTGTAGTTCTAAACGATAGCTTGGGATTCTGGTAGTTGTAGTGTCCTTCTTTGCCATCCTTTTACTCGAAAAAATATTTGTTTCTCCGATCGAAGGGGAAAAATACAAAAGCATGCACACAAGTTAAACCAATCAATGTTTGTGTAATTAACAAAGATTAATCTGGTGTTTTTAGTCGTGAGTAGTGCAGATATCACTGTAAAATAATCCACAGTAAGGAATACTACTTTCCGGTGTATAATTCCTCCGTTTCCAATGGGAATGGGACGCTCACATGGCCTTTAAGGGCAGCGACACAACGATGCCGTCTTGCCATGAGCTCAAACCCCCCCCAGAATGGAATACATTGCAAAGTTATGTCATTTGTCAATCAGCTTTAATGAACTGAAATTGGCAAACGCAATGAAAAGCACCCAACTTTATTGCTGTAAACCGTTAAATTAAAAACATACTGATTTAATGATTAGATTTTTGGCCGTATTTGACAGATATTGCAAAGAAGTACAGAGAAAAGATTGTGTTTTAGGTATTGTGATTGACATTAATGGAAGGCCATTAGAGTTCTGAAAGCTTCCACATGAATGTCACTACTCACAAAGAATGCCTCTGCCACATGTGGTAAAATCCAACACATAAATTAATATTTCTTCGCTCATTTGCTTCATAATAAGGAAAGGGTTCAGGGTGTTGGCTACGATTAAGCTTGTATTGATTGATTAAAGCGGTCAATGGAAGTTCCTGGGTAAGTCATTTAGCAGCTTACATATTAATGGAGCAGTCAAACTCGACTAATTAAGCCATGTGAAAATGGAGATGACAATGCTTGGCAGACATCAGCAATTCTGGTCCGGTCTAGTTTTCTGCTTTAAAGCAAGAATTGAATTTTGTGCGTGAGGGAAATAAAGCATATCAATTATTCAAAGACAGATTTGAATTGCTATGTTTATTGTTCATCACATCACTATATAATATATATTACATTGAGATTTTTATGATTTCACTTATTTTTGTGAGCAGGGGATCTGTCATAGGCAGATGCTTCGACGACTAAAAGCAACAGGTATTACAAGTTTCCTGTTATTCTTTTTAATATAAAAACAATAATGAATCCACATTGCGGGCCCTGTTGAATGGCCGACTACAAAACTAACGTTCCTCTGGGGACGAGTGCATGCTAAACGCATATAAAACAACATTTTTTTACTGAAACTATAATTTCAATCAACTTCAAACCCTGATACTGGGCTGTCCTTGGTTGAAAAAAAACCACTGCTTACAAAATGCTGTCTGCCAATGGGCTTGTAAGTTAATAGCTTGTTTTTCATTTATGCTCGCCAGGTCTTCCTTGAAATAAGCATGGATGCGGAAAAGTCGCCACTTTTGATATTGCTTCAGGAACAGTTTTCTTACTTTTCTGGAAAGTAAAAAAAATGAAATCCTTTTTGACCACATCTGCCAAACTCCGAAACGAGTTTATGCCAACCTGGCCTAGATGAAGGATATTGTGTAATGGAATTGTAAAATACAGGTTTAAAAGTATACTGATTAAGACCGATTTAAGCAGCTCTGACAGGATTTCTTTACTTTCTTGAAAGTAAAAAATAAAATCCTGTTTGACCACATCTGCCCAAAACTCCGACGAGTTATGCCACCTGAAGCCTAAGATGATCGAGGATGATTGTGTAATGGAATTGTAAATACAGGTTTTAAGTAAACTGGATTTAAGACCGATTTAGCAGCTCTGACATTTGGTTTTGTCTTAAAACCTGATAATACTGATATAAATGTTGACTTTGAGTATATCAAGGTACATGTTTCTAATCGACGTTGACGGTATCTGGCCAACATTTCAGATGCTTCCCTTCAAGGCTTGGGTTTTAGTGCTTTAATACTCTTAAACGTATTATAATAATTCCTCTCTGTTTTTGTGGTGGAGCAGAGGAGAGCAGAATTAGCCACTACAGGACACAGCAGCCAGGGTTTTCCACTGACATGGCCATGCTGAATAAGGTGACCCCGAGCAGATTATTTGCAATGACAATGAGCTGTGGATTCTGGCAGTTCTGCCTTTTTGTCTCTTTTTTCTCTTTTTTCTATCAATCATTACTAACTCTTCTCTCCCATGCGTCCTTGTCACACTCAACCCCTCATATCATTGCCCGACTCCCTGGCTGGCTGATCTACCCTCTCTATTGCTTTGTAATTCATTTATTCTCATATGAATGGTGCTATGTCTCTATCCGAAGCCTCTTGTCTTGTATTCCTATCTCCTCCAAACTCCACTTTTCCATAATAACTGTGCTGTGCTTTTATAGATTATGACACGTGTTTTTTTTTTTTTTTTTTAAAACCATGCATACAAAAACATTAATCTCAGCAAAGAGAAGAGATGCAATATGCCAGATTATAGCTAATAGCTAATTTCCATCTGTGGTCCTCAAGGGCACTTGTCCTGTCTTTTTACCATCTCTTAAACTTCTTACTTTCTCTATCTTGTTTCAGAACAATGATACTTCT